GTTGTATATGCCATCATAATTTAAAATCTGTAGAAGATAATTTAGATCTTTTAGCTTCCCCAATATTAAACTATCATGTTATCCCTCCATCAACCATAAACCTAGTTTTACCCTAAAATGAGCAATAAAAGTTAAATTTTGACATCCTTCTAACATGCCATTTCACCCAAATATTCCATGTTTCAATTCCTTCAAGTGTATGACATATAGTTATAAATATAAAGAAGCAGAGATAGTTAACCCTCAAGTTCCCTGTGTAAAGAGAACTAGGACTATATTTTATTAAATACTATCCTAAGTCACCAAGGTATCTTATCATTGGTATCAAATTGTTGGGAACTTTAGATGAACCATATCTTAAATATAACAAATACAGCAATCCTATTATGACAATCCTTGTTCTGAGAATTATACTAAGTTGGAACTTACGTTTCAAAGACTTCAAATATGTAATAGCAATTTAGTTGAGACATGACAAACACATGTAAATTTTTCTTTTCCTGACTCGCCTATCAATATTTCATTTGTTCCCCTTTTGGTTATGTGCCCTTATGTGGAGAATCTTAAAGCATTGTGCTGCTAACCAAAAAGTAAACAGTTGAAACATACCAGCTTCTCCATTGGAGAAAGATGGGCCAATCGGTTCTGTAAAGATTTACAGCCTATTAGTTAGTTCTACTCTGTCCTGTAGGGTTACTGTGATTCAGAATTGACTCTATGGCAGAAGGTTTATGTGGAGAATTTAGTTATAGTTATTTAAACAACTAATTTTCTAGGGACAATCCTTATGAATGGGCTGTCCCATGTGTAGACAGGTGAAGAAAGTGACAATGCACCTTAGGATCAATGGCTGCCCCCCTTGATATTTATTCAAAACATGCTTGTCAATATTGGACAAGTGATATCAAACTAATTTCAATAACCAAAAGAGAGGTATATGAAAATTCCATAGCAAAACAAACAGGGCAGAGTTGGTCATTTTTAAGTGTATTAATTTCTTCACATGGCATAGTAGAATTAGAAAAATCTTTACAAAATTTATCTGCCACAATGGCACAAATAGCTAATAATGTAGCTGATAGAATTGTCAGCTCAACAAAAATCATTAACATCTCTGGCAAAGGTGGTCTTGGACAATCAAATTACATTAGACTTCTTACTGGAACAACAAGGAGGAGTTTGTGCAGCTGTCAATACATCCTGTTGTTCCTGAGCAAATACCTCTGGAATTGTAGAACAAAATACCCGTAAAATTAGAAAGCAGACTGGCTACACTCTATTCATCCTCTGCAATCCCCAGTTTATTTGCACAGCTATCTCAAAGAATAGGATCTTGGACTTATTTGCTCCTACAAGGCATTTTAATGATAATAATACTAATTGCTTTAATCTAGTTTATTCAAATGTGTGGTTACTGGAATAAATAACTTTCAGCACCTTGACTCATATCCAGCTCCTAAACTAATTATGTATATTGATTCTGCCCACTTTTAATATATGATGATGCATCTGTAACCCTCATTTAATAACGCTGGTGGAAAACCAAATGTTATTTGATGAAAGTTAGACCATGAGTGTAAAGTGCCTACCATAGATACCATCAAGGGGCCCAGCAAATTCCAGACATCATCTGGTTATCTTCAATGTACTTACAATAATAATCAGTGATCAAAAAGACAGTTTGATGAAAGACTAATCAAAGCACAGCAGGTGGTAAGCAACAGCCAACTTGTCTGTCAAAATTTATAGACCCTTCAAACAATAAACAGAAGGCTCTAAGCACAGAACAGAGTGCTTTAACTGGCCCAATGGATGGCAGATAATGGAGGGTAAACATGTGTAACAAAACTGAATAATAATATACCAGGAAGCTAGTCAAAGATCTACCTAACGCCATTCATAGCTAACATAATAAAATCCAAAAATACCTAAAGCCTACCAGGCAACCACCATCTGACAGACCCAAGATCCCTGAGGCAAGAGATCATAGTATGGGGGTTGTGGGGGGAAGAAATGTTACCCAATCATAATTTTAGTTGTTTTTACTTTAACCAATCATAGCACGTAGATAATTTACTCATACGTACATGCTTAAGAAAGAGATTGTAAAGAGCATGCTGAAAGTTGCTTACAATGAATTAGCATTTGTTAAAATTGTAAAAAAAGAATGTCTTGTTTCTCTAGTGCTGCTATAACAGTGGATGTTTCTCTAGTGCTGCTAGCACAAGTGGCTGGCTTTAACAAACATGAATTTATTCTTTTACAGTTTAAGAGTCTAGAAGTCTGAATTCAGAGTGCCAGCTTTAAGGGCTGAGTGGGAGCCCCTCAACATTGGGCTTCAGCTCTGCCTCTTGTTCCAGGCCCAATGGAGCTGGAGGCATCTCTTAACTCATGCAGTCACTGGCTGCTGAGGCTAACGAATTCAAGAACAATAGATAAAATAGCATAATCCCAAGATCAGCAGGCAATGTGACAGGCCACTGGTTCAAGTGTAGGAAGTGGAGATGAAGACTTGGCCAAATGCCAGATCCAAAATGTGCCAAAAAGCTAGAGTCTTTCCTCAAAGCTTTCCCACACATACTGGAAGCAGGCCACACCCTCAAGACAACTAATTAGCTGCTCACAGCAGATTCCAACATGGAGTTGATTATACCACATCCAGTCTCATCATGAGAAATAACTGCATCCAGCTGCCAAGCTACTCAAAGTCATGGCCCAGCCAAGTTGACACACAGCATTAACTACCACAAAGGGCCTGTTAATCTTCTTGGGATTCTCTGCTTTCAGCCAATATCCATCTGACATTACAATGACATCTCTTGTTCCATGTCCTCTTCTGACTGTATCTTGAACTTCTTGTGGTTCCCTGTTGATGAACTGCTGCAAGTTTTTGAATTATCTTCAACAAAATTTACTTGCATGTGTTATTAATGACATTGCTTGATAATTTCTACCTTCCATTTGATCACCTTTCTCTGGGCATAAATATTGCTGTAGAGAAATAAATTTTCACCAAAGCTTTCTGCAGCAGAAAGATTTGTATTGCTCATATGAGAAAATGAAAGAGAATAATGGGAAATTGGCTGCAATCACTATGGCTATAAATTGGCCAACATCCAAGTAAGTACATGGAACATGGAAGCTTGTTGTTAGGTGCTATCGAATTGGTTTTGACTCATAGTAAGCCTAGATACAGCAGAACAAAACACTCCCCAGTCCTGCACTGTTCTCACAATTACTGCCATTCTTGAGCCCATCATAACAGCCACAGTGCAATCCATCTCACTGAGAGTCTTCCCATTTTCTCTGACTCTCTACTTTATCCTGCATGATATCCTTCTCCTGGGACTGCTCCCTCCTGACAAGATGACCAAAGTATGAGAGACAAAGTTGGTCACTCTCACTTCTAAGGAATATCTACCTATACTTCTAAGACAGATTTGTTCATTCTTCTGGTAGTCCATACCACATTCATTATTCTTTGCCAACATCACAATGTTATAGCCAACCCTCAACAAATGTTAGCAGAATGAATGATCAGTGTAAGTTAGAGCACTTCCATGTTCTAGAGACTGTGTCTTTATTAATGTAGCATTAGACCAAATGTTGTTTTGTGGCAGCTTTGTGGCAGCTTTGTGGCATCCATTCACATCGACAATAATGCTGCCTGGACTTTTCCCACAAGGGCTGTTATCTCCTCCCTCCCTCTACCTCATCCCCCTTGTGATGGTTAAGGTTGTTTCAACTTAGCTGGGCCATGATTCTCAGTGGTTTGGCAGTTATGATGTAGTCATCCTCCATGATGTAATCTGATACAATGTACTCATTTCCATGATGAGATCTGCTATCAGCCATTCAGTTGAAAGGGCATTTCCCCAGGAGTGTGGGCTGCTGCTCTCTGTTTTTTTTTGCTTAACCTGGATCTTGTATATGGCTCATCATCTTGTGATCTCCAGTTCTGGCACTTGAACCAGCAGACTGCTGTATTGCCTGTGGATCTTGGGCAGACCATTAGTTCAAGTCCAGAAACAGTCCCAAGATCAGCATGTAACATGGCAGGACACATGACTCAAGCCAATGCAGGATCCAGATGTGACAGGAAGCTCAGGACCTTTCTCAAAGCATCTCCTTATATACTGGAAGCAAGCCACATCCCACGGGCAACTATCTAGATGTTTGCAGCAGATTCCACCATGGAGTTGATTACACCTCATTCAGTCTCATCATGAGGAATAATTGCATGCAGCTCATGCAGTCAAACTCAAAACCTTGTCCCAGCCAAGTCAACACACAACTTTAACTACCACATCCTGTCTCTGCCTCCAACAGATCCACCACAGGAAACATGTGAATTCTGGGATATTCTCAGGTTTTCATTTATTTGCTCTCTTAAATTTTCAGAATTTTCCTTTCAATTAAACCATCAACCCCACCAAACCAAACCAAACTCACTCCAATCGAGATGATTCGACTCATAGCAACCCCTCCTTGAGTTTCCGAGGTGGTATCTCTATGGAAGTAGATTGCCCAATCTTCCTTCTGAGGAGTGGTTTTGAACAGTCCCCAGCTCTTGGCAAAAATGTAAAGAATCGAGTTCATTCTTGGATTTTCATTTTTGATAGAAAATGGCACTCAGAACACCAAGGTCTAGCTTTAGCAATGCTGGAACACAGAGTGTTGATCAGCGATGGGACACAGGTCAATGTGGGGAAAGGTACAATACCCCTCAATGTGCTGACAGAATACAGACATTTAGGTATGGTATACCAGTTGCAGAAAAGGAAGACAGGGTTTCCTGAATCATAAAGTGGGGTGTGCACAAATCTTGCATCATTCAGTCACGTACAAGGCAGAGAAGCTGCAGAAGAAAAGAATCATGAACAAATTCAGGTCAGTCACTTTAAGTGTTGACACTCGGCACAGCCTACTGCAATCTCAAAATGTCCAAATCCTAAGATTCCCTATAACCCAATTGTGTCCCCTGTGCCCCAATCCCTCCCTCACATTAGGTCCCCCCAGGTCTCACCTTTAGGAAATATGAGAAACACATCAGAACTATTACTCTTACTTCCTGGAGAAGAACAAAAACAGGATCTGGTTAGAATCCACAAGAGATGAAACTAGGAGGATAAGAATTATGGGGTGAGTGGGCTCCCCATGGATTCTCATCTATACCACCTCAAAGCTGTCAGGATCAGCCTCTCTCCCTCCATACTTACTTGAAGTCTGAGTGTAGCCCTCTCTTTTTCTACCTGTGGTAAGAAAGCATTCTGTAAGAGATTGGAGAGGAGGCAGGACCATAAGGTCCTAGAAGAGCCAGCTAGTCCTGGACCCCAGGGAAGTTTCGAGAACCGTGTCTACAAACCCAGGGCAGGATAAAGAAACACAAGGAAATACAGGGACTAAACCAATCCCCTCCTGGAAGTCTGTTCTCAGCAGGAACATTACCCTGTGACCTGTGACTATTGGAAATCAGGTCGTCATCACTGAAGCCATTAAGATGAAAGATTTGTCCTTCATTTTCACATGTACTTTACAAAAGAGTAATTGTTAGCATACAGGGCCCCAGACTGGGTCACCACATATGTGGACAGGAGGCAGGAGATAGCAAACTGCTTATGTGGGACTTGAAACCGCCCCCCCCCCCCCGCCAGGGACAAGAAACTCAGACTCCATTTCCATCTCTACCTAATCTCTTCTTTTGCAAGATCACAGCTCCAAGGACCACAACTCCAGGCAACACAGCTCCAAGGGCAACCAGGACAACAACAATTTCCATGATGGAGGTGGTGGGCAGTTCTGGAAAGAAAAGGGGAGTGAAGAGCCATGACTCCTTGGAGTTCTCCAGAAGGGCCCTTGCATTCCCTGAGAAGTGGCTCTGCCTCCATCCCCCGCCTTACCACATCTCAGGGCTAAAGGCTCTGCCAGGCCCTGATGGTGTACAATACAAGTGTATCTCTGCTCCTCTCCAAACGGCACCACCACAGCTGCCCACTTCTGGAAGGTCCCATCCCCTGCAGGCCTGGTCTCCACACATTCTGTGTCCTGGGTCTGGTCCTCCCCGTCCCGCTGCCAGGTCAAGGTGATCTCCGCAGGGTAGAAGCCCAGGGCCCAGCACCTCAGTATGACCTCACTGTCAGAGATGTGGTGGTGAGTCACATGTGTCTTTGGGGCATCTGAGGGTAAGATCAGAAAATTCAGGACCTTTTCATTACTTCTCACGGGCAACTTGAGCAGGGCTCATGTGATCATCCTGATAATGGACACAATATATGGGGTGGGGGAGGGAATGCAAAACCCAGACACCAGCCTGGAACAAGGATCTGGGATATTCTCTTATTCTTTGGAAAGTTCTAGAATCAGGGTGAAGCAGCCCAGAGTAAGAGGCTCTAGGTTTCTGAGGGGAGAACAAGGATTGCTAGTTCTGATTTTGCTGGAGGCTCAGAAAGTCAGAAAAGCTGGAGTCAGATTTCTAAACTCATTGGATGTGGGGCAGAGAACAAGGCTTGAGAGAGCTCAAATTCCAGTATCAAACTGCTATCAGTCAGGAATTACCTCCCCTACTATATCCCAGAAGGAACTCTGGTAGCACAGGGCTTAAGGCATTTGACGGATAACCAGAAGGTAGAGTAGCCTGGACTACTACCGTGGAGTCGATTCAGACTCACAGCCACCCCTCCTTGGGTTTCCGAGGCGGTACCTCTACGGAAGTAAATTGCTTAATCTTTCTTCCCACTTGTGGCTGTTGGGTTTGAACTGCCAGCCTTCTGGTTAGCAGTCAAATGCTTTAGGCACTACGCCACCAGAGCTCCCAAACAGAAGGTGGGCGGTTCGAAACAACCAGCCACTCAGCGGAAGAAAGACAGGACAATTCACACTGGTAAAGATTTGTTGTTGTTATGTGCCCTAGAGTCAGACCAGACTCATAGCGACCTCTCCTTGGTTTCCAAGGCGATATCACTGAAGAAGTAGATTGCCCAACCTTCCTTCCCAGGAGCCGCTGGTGGGTTTGAACCACCAACCTTCTACTTAGCAGTCAAGTGCCTTAGGCACTACCCCAAAAGAGCTCCTAGAAAACCGATGTGGGTCGATATGAGTCGGTATTGACACAGTGGCAGTGGGTTTCGTTTGGTTTGGGTCGGGTTTTTTTAGAGAGGGAGCAGGGCCAACATAGCCCCAGCTCAAAGTTAAATTACGAAAGGCGCCCCTCGGTCCCTCATACTCTCCTACCAGTCCGCTGCAGTGCCTCCTTTCCGTCCTTAAGGTATCTGGGAAGCCACTCCAGGAACCTGCCCTCCAGGTAGGCCCTGTAGTGCTCCGCTTCCCCGGCCTTTTCCCACTTGCGCAGGGTGATCTGAGCAGCTGAGTCAACCGCTGTCCAGGAGCGTAGGTCTTCGTTCAGGGCAATGTAATCCGCGCCGTCGTAGGCATGATGACGGTACCCGCGGAGAAGACGCCCGTCTGGCCCCACGTCGCAGCCATACAGCCCCTGGAAGGTGTGAGACCCTGGCCCCGCCGTCCCTGCGGTCAGCCCAGCTTCCGGGGTCAGCCTCACCCTTGACTCCAGCAGGAGTCACTCAGAGCTCATTTGGTTCTAAACTGAAACCGAAACGGGAGCGAATTCCGCGGCTCTTGACCTGTCCAAGAACCTGGAGGGTCCTGCAGCCTCGGGGTGCGGTTCGGGCAGGGAGTCTCGGGGCGACTCCAGCCAGTCAGTGGGGACGAGGGACTGGGGACCTGCGACCCGGGCCCCACGTCACTCACCGGATTCGCTCTGGTTGTAGTAGTTGTCTATGTTCCGTAGGCACAGTCGGTAATCCCGAGCTTGGACCTTGGTGATCCTTGTCTCCAGATCCCAATACTCCGGCTCCAGAAGCTCCATCCACGGCGCTCGCGGCTCTGCCCTTGGGTTCGGGGTGTCGCTGTCGAACCTCAGGATCTGCGTGTCGTCCACGTAGCCCACGGAGATGAAGCGGGGTTCCTCTCCGCCCGGCCGGGACATAGCAGTGAGGAAATACCTCAGGGAGTGGAAGCCTGGGGGCGGGAAGGGGCTGTGACCACCGATCCCCCTGGTCCCGCAGCGCCCGGGTCCCACGTCTATGGGGGCAAGGAGAGGAGGAGGGGCGGCGGGAGGAAGAGGACAGGGACATAGAGGTGAGGAGAGAGGGGGGCAACATAAGGGGGAGGGTGACGACAGGGGCCGAAGGGATCTGCCCCAGGGGCGGCGGGGCGCACCTTCCCTGAACGTCCTGCGTCCCCGCGAGGCTGTCGCCTAGTCCCTTCTTTACAGAGGAGGCTATTTTTCTCCCTATCCCGTACTCACCCTCTTGGCTCTGGATCAGAGGCAGGAAACCCAAGAGCAGCTGGAAGACGGTCTGGGATGTCATATCTCAGGTACCAGGGGTTCCAAGGAGGGTATACTTCCTGGCAGGTCCGAGGGTGCCTTGAAAAGAGAAACCGTGGTGACTGTGATCAACTTCCCTAGACATCTGAGAAACCCAATTGGAGAACTGGGGCGGCGCGTCATAAGTATCTAGGCAGGAGCTGACACAGAAGGTCAGAAAGACAAAGTGAAGCTCAGAGAAGACAGAGAGTCCACGATGCTAACCGTTCTGGGCCGGGCAAAGTCACCAGGGCGGGAGAGCCCAGCGCGAGTACTGGGACTTTGCTCTGACACCTCTCCTCCAGCGCCGAGCTTTCTTGGCCACAGTTTTGAGTCCTTGGTCTTCTTAAGTCAGAGGCTCTTGTTAGTTTCAGAATCTCTGTGTTGTTGTGTACCCTGGAGTGGATTCTGTTGGGCCCTATATGGCTGAGTAGAACTTCCTCATTGGGTTTCCTCGGATGTATTCTTTGAAGAAGCAGATCTCCAGGTCTTTTCTCTTGAGAAGTTGGTGGGTTTCAACCTTTGGGACAGCAGCCAAGATCTTAACCATTGCCCCCCTCCCCCCAGGCCTCTTTAGAATTTCTGTTCTCTCACAAATTTATAGTGGCTAAAGCACTTGACTGCTAACCAGAAGGCTGGCGGTTCAAACCCACCAGCCACTGCCCGGAAGGACGGTTGGGCAATCCTACTTCCGTAGTGATACTGCCTCGGAAACCCAAGGAGGGGTCGCTATGAGTCGGGGCCTACTCGACGGCACATAACAACAACAACAACACAAATTTATGAGGAACCAAAGGAGATTTTGTTTATGTGAGTTTTATTTACTGATATTAACCATGAAATTGAAACGATTACAATTAAAAATTAACGTAAAATAATATTAATAACCCATTAAACGTTAACAGAGATATTATATTTGCATGAAAAATATTTTCCAAAATAAAACAATGTAGAGAAAAGAGATCATTTTACATTTTTACATGTCTGTGTCAGTAGAATACTTCTGGATTTTCATACATGCTTCTGCATTCAATCTGTTACTTTGGATGACAAACCAAACCAAACTCACTGCCATCAAGTCGAACCGGAATCATAGTGACCCTTCCGTGGGTTTCTGAGGTGGTATCTCTACGGAAGTAAATTGCCCAGTCTTCCTTCCGAGGAGTGGCTGGTGGGTTTGAACCAACAGCCCTCTGATTAGCAGTCAAATGCCTTACGCTCTAGGCCACCAGAGCTCCCTATTTAGGATGAGGTCTGTACAAAAAAAAAAAAAAAATACAGCATCACACAAATAGGAAGTTGGAAAAGGGAAGAGTATTTCTAATCGCCTTTCCAACTAGTGGTGAATGTTCATCTTAGGTACTTCACTTAAAGCTACATAAGTGGTAGTTTCTTAGAGGTTAGTTGCAATCGGAAATCCTGTTATTGAATATTTCATAGTCTGTTCATTGAAACCTTCTTGAACATTGAATGAATCTTGTACTAATGAGTGAGATTTTTTTTAATAGTGATACATTAGTGTACTGAGTATGTAGATATGCAGATCTTCCAATGTCGACACATTTCATCACAAAATATTAAAAAGTCACTTTGTTGGTATTACGACTGATCCCAGCAGAAAAATTTGTAAATTTTGGAAAGCCATCAAACTTGTGGTGAATACAAGTTTTCCAATAGTCTAATCTTTTGAGAGATTCCATACAGTACTGCCAACTGGTTTCCTTGAAGTGACAGGCTTACTAGTTGTTCATTTTTGAGAAAGTGCCAAAATATCCAAGATAATTTGTCATTCCTTCTCTCAAGTAAAAATGACATTACATAAAAAAAGAGGCTTGTTCAACTCATATAAATTATTTTCCTTGAGACAAGCATTATACTTTGGAATGTAGGAGACATGCTTTATATAAATTTCCTATTCTATCACATGGGAGCTCTGGTAGCATAGTGACTAAGGCACTTGACTGCTAAACAGAAGGCTGGTGGTTCAAACCCACCAGCCACTCCTCGGAAGGAAGATGGGGCAATCTACTTCCGTAGTGATACTGCCTCGGAAACCCAAGGAGGGGTCGCTATGAGTCGGGGCCGATGGATGGCACACAACAACAACAACATTCTATCACATAGGATATAAGATGTGGACTTAAGGATAGTGATTTAATAAAGCTAATAACTTTTAATGCTTTACTCAGTACATTTTTAAGAGAAGCTGGTTTATTTTATATTTTCCTGCAAGGTGGCGATGGTGAAGAATACAATTGCAGTCTGATGATACAGACTTGATTCTTGATAAGCTTCCAGCTGATTACCTCAGTGCAAATACCATCACAGTGAGAGACACTAGTAATTGCTCAGTAATGTTATAAAAAAAAATTTGGCTTCATAGATTTTGTGAAAGGATCTCAGTGACTCCAAGAGTTCCACAGATTGGAATTTGAGAATTGCTGTTTTGAATAAACCAGGAATCCCTTAACTCTTTGCCTTCTCTTCACTTTCTGCAATCCCTCTCCCTGAGCTGGATTCTGCTTCCCAAAACTTAGCTCAAGCCTCTTCCTATGGGCTATTCTGGAAGAGAATTTGCCCACTGGAAATGCGTCAGAGTGTCATTAGTCAGAAAACAGGTTCCCTTTTGGAATTGGAAATATTTCTGCTTAAAGGCACCAGATAGACATCAACTCATAATCTGTTTTGGTTTTGTTACTCACCAGCTTAATGTATCTCCATATCCCAGACAGTTGGAAATCTGATGCAGTCTGTCTGAGAAATAATAAATTCAAATATAAAAATCATATAATAAATTCTTACATAAATTCATAAGGCACCTGGCTTGAGGTCCATAAACCATCAAGAGCAGTCCCGTAAATAGAACTTTCTGTTATAAAGGGATTGTATAACTGTGCTGTCCAATACAGTAGCCACTAGTCATGTGTGGCTATCGAGCACTTGAAATGTGGCTTCTGCAACAGAGTAGGTGGAATTTTTAATTTTACTTTATTAATTTAAAGAGCCACACCTGAATAGTAACTACCATATGCTTGGAATTCTTAATATTTCCCCTAAAAGATATTGTGTGATTTGTAGATTGAAGTATATTAAAATTATCTTTATTGAGAAGCCATGGAGTTGTCTATTTGTGTCTTAGACAGATTCTTAAAATGCAAAGTGCCCATAAAAGTTTAATTAATAGGTATTTAAGAACTAGAGTGTACAGACAGTAACAAAAATGTGATTTATCACCTCAAGATTACAAATGTTCAAAAATGCCATCACCAGTACAAATCTATTTTTGTATTTCATTCAGAGTCTTGGCATTATTGTTTTCTTTAATATTAGGAGGAAATAAGTCTTCACTTATTCATAGGAATATGCTTACTGATAGTACACAGATGTCAAATGCCCTGTAGCACTTGCAGATATGTTTTTAAAATTATGAAACAAGAGATTAAAGATTAGAATTGCATAACCTTAGAATTTTTTTTTTACCTATTTACTTACGACTCGACGGCACATAACAACAACAACAACATTTACTTATTATTTCCCTTTCTCCAAAATTCAAATAGTTTTATTTGCCTTGATTCTCAGATCCTTTTCTCCACATCATCTGTACCTATATAAAAATATACTTGAAATTTTTACACTTGTGAAGTGAAATATTCCCTAAGTATGATCCAAGAACTATATAAAAAAAAAATTGATGAATTGATGGAAGTTTTGACTATAGGCAAGTTAAATGCTTTTTATGGCAACTACAAAATCAGAAATATAAAATGCTATCCCATAATTATTTCAAAAACATATTAAAATTATGAAATAAGAAAATTATATACAATTATATCTAGTCAGAGAATAAGAAATAGCTGGTGGAAATTAAAAATACAGTCATAGAAATGAACAATCTGTAGATAAACTGAGTGAAAATACATAAAATTTCACAAAATAGTGTTGTTGTTGTTATGTGCCGTTGAGTTGGACTTGACTCATAGCGACCCCTCCTTGGGTTTCCAAGGCAGTATCACCATGGAAGTAGATTGCCCAACCTTCTTTCTGAGGAGTGGTTGGTGGGTTTGAACCACCAGCCTTCTGGTTAGCAGTCAAGTGCCTTAGGCACTATGCTACCAGAGCTCCTACTAAATGGAAAAATGATTATGCACAAGAGAGAAGAACTATAAAAATATTAAACTACCTATCAAGAAATTCCAACATCTTCATAATACAAGTTTAAACAGAAATGCATATAAGAAATAATTTTAAAATAATTCAAAAAATTATCTTAGAATTTACAGACAAAAGTGTACAAATTCTTACTATAGTTAATGACCATAGACTCACACTGAGAGTACATCACAATGGAATTTTTGAAAGAGGGTAGAAAAGAAATACTGAAAACATCCAGCAACAAAAAAAAAAGAGCATCTTAAAGCTAAAAGATATAGAAGCAATGGCTTCCAATATGTCAAAAAAAAAAAAAAAAATGCTCAACTCAGGATTCAATAACAAGCCAAAATGTGAAGTCTTCTTCCACGTAAATGGTAGGGTAGCCTAAAGACATTTTCAGATGGTTGGGATTTATCATTTATCATTCTAGGACACTACTAGAGGAAATGGAAATGAAAAATGATGGAGAAAAGCACAAAAAGAAGAGCACATGGTATCCAGGAAACAGGGGAGCCAGCATAAGAGAAAGACAAAGGATGCCCAAGATGAAGGTGATCCGGGGTGTCAACCTGTCCTGGGTGAGAGGCAGCCACTCTCCCTGTGGCAGGACTAAAACCTGTGAGACTGGTGTCTGAAAAAAGATGAAGTTGGTTAAAAAAAAAAAAAAAAAAGACTTGTTCTGCTGGAATATATTCATAGGATATTCAGACCCTGAAGGGGGCAGGGAGTAATTTTGGAATGATTTCCAAACCGAAAACAAACTTATTGCCATTGAGTTGTTCGACTCATAGGGACCCCTCCTTGAGTTTCCAAGGCCATATCTACAGAAGTAGATTGCCCAACTTTCCT